CAACTCAGAACTTTGTATAGAGACAAATATCTTGTATTAGAAAGGATATTGTTTAAACTTTATTACTTATTTTACACCAACTTTCATGTTTATTTTTATTCTATTCTGACTGTGTTATTTACATTTTAACTAAAGATTTATAACTACATTTTATTTCTCAAGTGTAATACTTTTTTCAAGTTCAAAACATAAGATTCAGAGTTCAGAAGATTACATTCTGTAATGCACTTAACATATTTGTGCAAGTCTATAAGATTACCACTGAGTTCATATCCTTATTTTCTCCATGCTGTGTTTCTTAAAAGAGCAGATTTAAAGGATTGCATATTTGGCTTAATTTCTTGTTTCCCCCATCCCAGACTTCTTAGAGACCCCCATGTTGGATTTATATAAGCACTTTAGTAGTTTGTTGAAACTGATCAATGCAATACCATTGAATTTGAGAGACATTAAAACCTCTGTCCTCATATTCTCTGAAGATAGGCTATCTTTCAAAGGAAGCTACTTCCTTTAGTTGTCCTTGGCATACAACCACCACTTCATAAGGAACAAACTACTTTTGCAACCAAATTATTTCAGAATCGAAAAGGTTGAGGTCCCCACTGTGGGCATGGAGCCCTCCAGGATTCTTCCATATTACCAGTTCATTAGCAGTATAGGAAAACTCAATCCATGAGGCCTCAATTTAATCATTTGTTTTACAGGGCCTTTTTTTTCCTTTCAGTTTAACCAGACACAAACTCTCAATTTTTTATTTTAAACAGAAACGCGGCAGATATATAAGCTAAACCATTCCTTATTCATATGGAAAAAAGGAAGCATCAGTAATCGTCTCGTCTAAATAAAAACTCTTAAGTTTTATTACATTTTAAAATATGACATTTAGCTAGGCACGGTGGCTCATGCCTGTAATCCCAGCACCTTGGAAAGCTGGAGCAAGAAGACTGCTTGAACCCAAAAGTTCCAGCCCGGCCTGAGCAACATACTGAGACCTCATCTCTAACAAACAATATAATAATTGGCGGGGCACAGTAGCTCACGCCTGTAGTCTCAACACTTTAGGAGGCCGAGTTGGGAGGATTTCTTGAGGAATTCAATACAGTGAGACATTATCTCTACAAAAAATTTTTTTTAATTAGCTAGGCATCAACTTGGTGAAACCTCATCTCTACAATAAAACAAAAATTAGCTGCCGGGCTCCGTGGCTCAGCCTGTAATCCTGCGCCTTTGGGAGGCTGAGGTGAGTGGATTACCTGAGTCTGCGGGTTCGAGACACACCTGGGCAGCGAGACCTGATCTCTCTACAATAAATAAAAAAATCAGCCAGGCTTGGTAGCGCATGCCTATAATTCCGGCTACTTGGAAGGCTGAGACAGAAGGATCGCCGGAGCCCAGCAAGTCACTGGGCTCCAGTCTGGGCGACAGAGTGAGACTCCAACTCAAAAAAAAAAAAAAAAAAAAAAATTAGCCAGGCGTGGTAGTGTGCGCCTATAATTCCAACTACTTGGAAGACTGAAGCGGAAGGATCACCGGAGCCCAGCAGGTCAACACTGGGGTGGCCGTGAGTGTGCCACTGCACTCCAGCCTGGGCGACATAGTGAGAATCCAACTCAAAAAAAAAAAAAAAAAATTAGCCAGGCATAATGGTGCACACCTGTAGTCCCAGCTGCTCCGCAAGTGAAAGGATTGCTGGAGCTCAGGAGATCTAGGCTGAAGGGAGCCGTGATCATACGGCTGCACCCCAGCCTGGATGACAAACTGAGACCCCTACTTTTAAAAATTATTTTTTAACATTTGGAAGCCCAAAGAGACATATTAAGCTTATTTGGTATATTAAAATTAGATGACAAGCATTATCAAATAAAAAATGTCATTTAACTTTGTTTTATGGTTATACTGCAAACTGTTTTGTTTTATTTTTTAAATTATTTTATTTTTAAAATGTGGAGTACAATTCAGGATTAGGCTAAGTTAATTTTTTTTTTATTTTTAATTTTTTTTTGAGTTGGAGTCTTACTCTGTCACCCAGACTGGAGTGCAACGGCCGCAGCCTCGACCTGCTGGGCTCCAACGATCCTTCCGCCTCAGCCTTTCAAGTGGCTGGAGCTACCAGCGCGCACTACCACACCCAGTTAATTTTTTTGATTTGTTGTAGAGATGAGGTCTCGCCAAGTTGCCCAGAAGGGTCTCGAACCCTCGGGCTCAGGCAATCCACTCAGCCTCCCAAAGTGGAATTAAATTTTTATAACTGTATTTTTATGTGTTCCAAAATTGTATGAGATATTTAAAACAAAATCTGAAAAATATAATATGTCTGTATATGTAAAAAAATATATTTTTAAATTAAAAAAATTAGCCAGGCATGGTACACACCTACAGTCACAGCTACTTAGGAGACTGAGGATCTTCTGAGGTCAAGGCTACCATTATTGTGCCACTGCATTCTAGCCTGGCAACAGAGTGAGACCCCAACCCAAACAACAAACACAACGACAAAAGACATTGTTTCAAATAGTATTACTAGGGTAACAAATCATTAAGTGATACAACCAGTCAGAATTAGATTTTTTTTTTTTTTTTTTTTTGAGTTGGAGTCTCACTCCATCGCCCAGGCTGGAGTGCAGTGGCACGCTCCCGGTCACCCCGGTGTCGAACTGCTAGGCTCCAGTGATCCTTCCGCCTCAGCCTTCCAAGTAGCTGGAACGACAGGCGCACTACCACGCCCAGCTAATTTTTTGATTTATTGTAGAGATGAGGTCTCGCTGCCCAGGAGGGTCTCGAACCCGCGGGCTCAGGTAATCCATTCACCTCAGCCTCCCAAAGGCGCGGGGTTACAGGCTGAGCCATCAAGCCCGGCTGGCTAGAATTAGATTTTTAAAATCACTTTCACAGACATTGTAACAACCTTGAAGTCCAGAGCTCTTTCAAGACTAATTTATTAGGAATATTTAACAAAGCCAGCTTTTTGATGCTGAGTTGAATCTGATTTAATGCAGTCAGAAAGAAAGAAGAAATATTGTCCTTATTTTACTAACATGTCTTATTTTGCTTGAGTTAGAGGCGCCTACAATTTTAAGTCTAGGTAACTGGAATTCTAGGAGTAAACACAGACAGGAGAAAGATATACAGAGAAGTTAAAAACTTACAATAACAAAGGAAATTACCAGAATAGGATTACTCATAAATGGAATATTAGCATGAAATGTTTTAAATTTCAATTAGTTATAATTTTATTGTTAGTATTCAGATTCGTGTTTTAGAATGTTTAGTACAAAATGAGAAGCAAAGTAATTGCATTAACATTGTTAAGTTTCAGTGTTTCTAGTTCAAAGAACAATCATATAGTTGTATTCTCAGATTGCAATAACAAAATATCACAGAATGAGCAGCCTAGACAACAGAAATTTATTTCTCACAGTCTTGGAGGCTGAGAAATCCAAGATCAAGGTGCCAGCAGGGTGGGCTTCATTACGAGACCCCTTCTCGTTAGCTTGTAGGGGCCTGCCATCTCTCTGTGTGCTCACATGACCTCTTGTTTGTGCACACAGTGAGACAGGGAATAGTTCTTTAGTACCTTTTCCTATAGGACACTAGTCTTACCCAGGGACCCACCATGACCTCACTTAATCTTAAATACTTCCTTAGCAGACCCAGCTCCACACTGCAGGTTAAGGTTTCAACATAGGAATTTAGAGATTGAGGTGGGACATGAATATTTAGTCCATAAAAATGGCCCACTAAATGATGGAAGTAAAAGGAAAAAAATTACAGTTCTAGAATGATTTAAAACCTAAGTAGATATATTACAGAGCAATAAGTACAGCTAAGCTGAAAGTCACAATACAAACTCATTGATTTCTAAAGACTGTATCTTTCCTACTTCTGTTCACCTTAGGGCTGAAAAACACCATTAGAACCAGATTTTAAACTGGGTACAGTTTCTCATGCCTGTAATCCTAGCACTTTGGGAGGCTGAGGCAAGAGGATTGCCTGAGTCCAGGGTTCAAAACCAGCCAGGGCAACTTGGCAAGACCTTGTCTCTACAATAAATAAATAAATAAATTTAGCCAGGCATGGTGGCGCATGCCTGTGGTTCCAGTACTTGGAAGGCTGAAGCAGAAGGATCACCTGAGCCCCATCCTGGGAGACAGAATGAGACTCCTACTCAAAAACAAACAACAAACAACAACAACAAAAAAAAAAACAACAGATTTTGGTCTCTAATATTTTCCCACTGAAAGCCAGAGAAAACAAGTTTATGTTTGTTTTCTCTGCCTACAATTTCTCTATGAAGTGACAATTAATGTTTGCTATCACAATTAATGTTTGGTCTGAGCTGTTCTAGACAAACATTGAAGATTACAATGTTTACGGATTAAAAAATCATATTAGTATTCTTTGCTCTAACAAAGAACACGACTAAGACCCACTCTGTCAGTGACTGAAACATCTTGGGAATCTCCCAAGTCCTGAATTAGTATAGCAAAGAAAAATGTCAAAAATTCAAGAAACAAGTTTCCTTCAGGTATGGGCAAGTAAGCTCCTAACAGACCACACTTCTAGAGTAAACCATTAAAAATTCTGAACAAATTTTTTAAAACACCAAATTAATGGAAAAACAACAAAAAATCCAGACTTGGGAGAAAGAAAAGACACAGGATGGGTTTGTTGTTTTTATGGCTACTATTCAGAGTGCAGTGCACAGGTCTGCATAAGGTCTGCAGTGCAGGTCCACAAATGGTCCTACAGAAAACCATCATCTTTCTGCCTGGAAGAATAAGGGGACAGAATGTGCAGTGATCACAGCTGCTGGAAAGAATTGGAGAGAAAACACCTGAAAGGAGAGCCAGAGGGGGAGGAGTTCCAAATTCTGTGTGTCAGCTCTGTCCAAATCTCTAGCTACCTGTGAACTGACAAGAACATTTTCTGCCAGTACAAGACTTTGACCTGCAGATATTTACATAGCAATTGCCTCCTCTCATTTTGGTCTAAAGTTCTTCCTAACAACTATCATGCCACAGAATGTATAGGTGTTGTCTTGCCCTGGAAGCCAGACACACCAGAAAATTGTGAAAGATAGCTGGCACAGCTGTCTTTGGATGAATACCAAACACTATGCTCCTTTCCAGGCCTGAGAATCACCAGACACTATCCATCACAATGTGGTCACTCAACATGTCACAGGCATCACTAAGCTACACAACCCTCTTCTTCCTCATTGCTCTCAAGAGCTTATGCTTGTAGTATTCCACTTCTCTCATGTTGCTGACAAACACAGCAACATCCTTCAGAGAATAACCCCGTTCAAAGAGGAAGTTGCAGGTTTCTATCACATAGGTCACTACATGCTCCAGAGTCAAGCCTTTCTTAATTGTTAAGGTTCCCTGAATGCCCTGAACCCATTCAGCTTCAAGAAGCATGTCCAGGGACTTATGAGGGATGTTAGGTGGAGGATTCTCCCTAATTACTTGCATTTCTTCCTGTGAGTAGTTGGCTATTGTATTGGCATTGCGAACCACTCCAATAAGCACTTCTTTTGAATTCTGGTCTGAAAGAAGTGGGAGGCAACTGCAACCCAAGTGGCTGGTCTGAAAGTAGTCCAGAAAGATCCAGAGAATTCCGGGGCAAGGTTTTGCTCTCTGAGTGATGGCTTTTGCCTTCTCATACCAGTCCCCATCTTTAGTGCAGAAGTTCTGAACTTCATCAATAACGGTATGTTGAATGTGTTTAAAGTCATTTTTCATGAAAGTTTTCCGGGTCACTGCTTCACAGATATTTTTGTTACTGTAAAAATTTTAAATGACACACTCAGGTTTTCTCTACCTAGTCAAGGAGAAAAATTACTCTATTATGCTCCACTGAACACAGCCTGTTATCACAGATCATTTCCCCACATATTTCTGAAGAAACAAGGAAATTTAGCCAAGAAAATTAAACCCATACTAAATAACACTTACAGACATAAGATCCAACTGTTTACCTGATAAAGTTTCTTAGCGGCTGGTTTTCACAAACATTTAGAATTCTACTTTCCTCACAATGAAACACATTCTTGATCTTCATGATCTTCATGGCCATGATTGTCTTCCCTGAGCCTAGTAAGCCATGCACAACAATTCTCTGTTCTTGTAGAGGTTTTTGGAGAATATCTCATACTGTTGGGCTGTGCACAGATTCAGAACCTCACAGCCGAACTGATCACTCAAAAAAGACCTGAAGCTGAGCAAGACAATCACAAGGGACTGCAACAAGGCTTCCATCTGCTGGGTGTCTGCGAGGTTGTAGGACATGGGGTAATCTATCAGAGACACTGCACCCTTCAAGGACTCTGTGTATCTCTCAGGATTCAGGGAGAGGACCTTGGGTATAACACACACCTTCCTGGTGTAGCCTCCCATGTTCATCAGCTTCTGCTTCAAAGTAAAAGCAATGCGAGTACAGTAGTCCTGGCCCTCTGCGTCCTGCTCCCTGAGAATGGTGTAGAGAATGGCGGGGCTACTCTGTGCTATCAGCAGAGCATCACAGATGACCTCCTCCTTCTGTTGCAAGTTCAGGTCCACGGCCCAGCTTCTAGAGAGGATCAGAATTCCTGTGGAGTTAGGTTGCATTTGCTTGCTTATTAACCCCTCCAGTCTTTCATGCTGTGAGGACAGGTGCTTCCAGAGGGATTCGGGAGTATATTGCAAATGTTTTGGTTGCACTAGACATAGAAAGAGTGGTAAATTTCAGTGTGGTCATATTTATGATGACAATTAATTATAATTAACCATAATTAATGGATTGATCATGGTGATTAATTACTGATATTTCAAATATAGCATTTTATAAATATTATTATAAGTATAAAAGAAAAGAAGCCTGAAACTATTTGACATACCTCATCTAAACCTATGTACTTATTATGTTTAGGACCTTGAGAAATTCCTTAACCTCTCTAAGGCTCTCTAAGGTTCTAAGGTTTTTGCATCCTCATCTGTAAAACAAGAAAAAGAATAGCTCATTTCCAATGGGGAGGAGTGAATGAAATAATATGTGTCCAGGTCATTGTAGCTGCTTAAAGGCTAGTTTGGTTCTCCTTTCTACTAGCAAAGTAGCTGAATCTCAAAATGTCCCGTTGATGGAGGTAGAAGGGCCCTCCCAGGAAGAAGGTGTTCATTAATGTCATATTTATGGAGTCATGTAAAAGCTTTTAATGGCAGGGCATTTCCTGCAGTCCTGCCCTGGAAGACCCTTAAGTTAGGCCCTGAGCTATCTCTTCTGAAGCAAAATTCTTGCATCACTTGCTTACAGATCCGTGTGGGGCTCCACCTATCACAGAAGTCTTCCCTTTGCCAGGGACAAACAGAAAACAATTATGTGACATGAGAATAAACTTGTGCTGTCCAGTAATAAACTTATTTCAGTGAGCATTGGTCCCAAAGGGGAAAAAATGAGATTGTTTTTGTCCTGTTGTGGTAGTATTAGAGTACAAACCAGAATCAAGATTTTTAGTGGTAATTTCAAATAAAATTACCCAAATTTTATTGGTTATTGTTCATTGTTGCTTGTTCTTTGTCATTCATTCTGGGTGTTCACATAACTTGATTATGCCTGCAATCTGGGTGACAGTAAATAGGAGATAGTATCTATTATGAGACACATCCAGATTTTAGAGATGTTAACAGGTGTGGGGGGAAACACATCTTAGAATAGATAAAATAGGATAATTTGAGGTTGTGTTTAAAATACATTTGAGAAACCAAAGGAGTATAAAATAAGAAAATATATTATTTATTGAGTGTACCAAGGTTTTCACATCTCAGGTCCTCCAAAATTCTCCAAGGCAGACAGATATATTTCCATTTTCATGAGTAAACAGGGACTAAAGAGGTCAAGTGAGAGCTGGACACAGTGATGTGGGCCTATATAATATCATGTAATTATATATTCATATATTTTATATAATATTATGAAATATAATTATTTACAGTATATTCATTATGAATTGTATTATTGATTATAGTAGTATTTCATTTAATTCTCTTGAATTTTTCAAACATATAGTCCTATCTACTTCAATTTTTATCCCTCTAATTTATTTCTTTTATCTACTTGTATTGGCTAATTAATACTATATAGTAATTGTAATAGTGCACATGATTTATATATATATATATATATATATACAAATATATATATAATGTTAAAGAGTTATCTATAGATTACCATTTTACTGAAAGCCTCTTTAAAAAACTAAAATGTGGGCCAGGCATGGTGGCTCATGCCTATAATCACAGCACTTTGGGAGGTCGAGGTGAGAAGCTTATGTAAGCCCATGGATTCAAGACCAGCCTGGGCAACATGGCGAGACCTCATCTTTACAATAAATCAAAAAATTAGCCAAGTATGATGGCGCGTGCCTGTAGTTTCAGCTACTCGGAAGGCTGAGGCAGAAGGATCACCTGAGCCCAGCAGGTCAAGGCTGCAGTGGCCATGAGCATGCCACTGTACTCCAGCCTGGGTGACAAAGTGAGATGCCAACTCAAAAAAAAAAAACTAAAATGTGTGCTGCATTTTTCAAAATTATTTTCAATGTTTTCTAATAAGAGGATGATCATATAATTTTTCTACATAGATATGTAGAAATGATAAATTACAATAACTCAATGCTAATCTATCCTTGTGTTTCTGGAATTCTGTCTTTGTGTTTTCACTCATATATTCATAAGCAAGAGAATTCTGAGCTTTCCTTTTTTGTGCAATCTGTGTTAAGTTTTGCAATTACTCTTACTCCCACTTGAAAATGACTTGAGAATTCTCATTCTTTTCCCATGGCTCTAGAACAATTTAAGTAGGGTTGGAAATATCTATTCTTCAAATGCTTGGTAGAATTTTTGAAAATTTTATTTTTTAATACAAGGATAATAGATTGCTGCTATATGAGCCTATACTTAATATTTTGTTTTAGTTATAATTTATCCATGGTAATAAACTCTGCTAAAATGGAGCTTACTGAACTCTAAAAGTGATTAGTAATACTTACGTTTGCACTGAGATTTTATACTGTTTATTGTAGACAGTTTTTAGAATATAAATTTGATATAAAATGAATGCAAAGACCTCAATTAGATAAGAGAAAAAATAAAATTTAATTGGGGCAGTTATTTTTATTATTTTTCTTAGTGATGCATGACTGTACTTTATTATTATAAAATAACAATTTACCTAGTCTCTTGTTAATGCACACTTAGGTGGTCTGACTATTTGCAATTATAAACAATGCTTCTGTGAACATTCTCATACATATCTTTTTTTGTGTGTATATGAGAGAGTTTCACCATGTGGGGCAGTTATTAATTGTCTAATAATTTAAGGATCCTTGGTAGATTCTTATACACATATACGTAACATTTATGCATCAAATTCTAGTGCCAAATAGGTCACTCATTTATTGTATAGACTCAAGCAACTGGTTCTCACTTTCTAGAATTCTAAAGAGAATATAGCAATGGGTTCCTATGCAAAGCGTATTTTGAGAACAAGGGATGAGAGGAGAGAAGAGGCGTTGTCCTAGGTCCTGAAGTACTGTTTTTGTGCTAAACCTGAAACACAGAATACAAATTTATATTTCATATTTATTTTATTTTTTGTATGGTATCTTTATCTGAAGTGCTGAAAAAATTCATAATTCATATTTCTTTTACTTATTTTGTTTTACATCTTGATCTATATTTGTATTCTTTTTTTCATATTCATAACCACCACTTCTCTGGAAAACCTGAAAGGGAAGGGCAGCTTTTTTGCTTTCTAGTACAATGTATGACTCTAGTTTGACTAAATAAAAGGTCTCCAATCTGGATGAGCATCAGAATCATGAGGGTAGCTTGATTAAAACACACATTACAAGCTACTGTCCCAATATATTCAAATTTATTAAGACCAGAGTGGAGACCAGATATCTGAATTTTTAAAAATAACCAGAAATACTGATGATCGTCAGATTTGGGAATTATAAGACCAAATAATGTTCCTGAATTCTATAGGTGGTACTGCCTCAGTTAGCATGTGGCCTTTTAGAAATTGTCAGTGAGGGCTCATTTGTAAACCATCTTGTCACCAATAGGCTTGTAACATCATCCCCTCATACATATGGGTTTGCAGAGCACAGTGTCAAGATTTTAAAAAATATAACAGTTATGGTCCTTTATTCTATCATAAAACTGGCTAGTGTCAAGTAGGCAAAACCTATAAATACCTGAAAATAAGAGTTGCTGGAGATCCTTTTTATGTTCCAGACCCTTCTTGGAGTATACTAGTCTGCTAAGAGGAGGCCCATTAGATAAACTCAGCTGACATTCAAAGTCCTTGGATGACCATAGAAGACCTTAACAAAGAAAGAAAACTCATGTCATTCTGACAGGTTAGTTCATCTCTTCACGTCTGAAAGAGGCCTTACCAGTAGGAGGAATACTTGACTTGACTGGTGGTGTGACTTAAGAGATAACAGCAAAATAACTCTCATCACTCTGACCGGACAAGTATCTTTATTGCATACCAATATTGCCAAAATCCATCACTGAAGAGTCACCATTTGGAAGTTTGAATATATTTTGCCATGCAAAGTAATTCTCCATTCTCTGTATCTGTATAGCATTTTGTTTGTATTTCTCTTATGATGCACAGCACATTCTTTTAGTACACATGTCTGTTCATGTGTCTTATTTTACACCCCCTCTCCAACCTCTAACACCTCCCCTCAACCCAATTCTTTTTTTTGAGTTGGAGTCTCACTCTGTAGCCCAGACTGGAGTGTAGTGGCCGCTCCCGGCCACCACAGCCTCGACCTGCTGGGCTCCAACGATCCTTCCATCTCAGCCTTCCAAGTAGCCAAAATTACAGGCATGCGCTACCACGTCCAGCTGATTTTTTGATTTATTGTAGAGATGAGGTCTCGCTGCCCAGGCGGGTCTCGAACCCGCGGGCTCAGGCAATCCACTCATCTCAGCCTCCCAAAGGCACGGGATTACAGGCTAAGCCACCGAGCCCGGCTCAACCCAATTCTTAACTCTGTTAAGCATCATCTCACCATTGAAGGATCTCGATGACATCCTGATACCTATGCTTAGTCCTAAAGTTATTATGAGATACTGTGCAAAATTAAAGGTCATCAGACAGTACAGTGTTAAACTTTTTCATGTGTTTTGGAGAGGAGAGTCAGTTTCACAACTACTCATCCACTTTACTCAGAAGACTGTGTACCAATTTTTATGTGCTTCTCTGTGTCTTTCCAGGCATGTTTCTCAGTCATTCCAGAGAGTCTGTGACACCCACTAGTCCACTAAATTATAGCATAATGTGGTACATACAGAAATATGTTTGGGAAGTAGTAATAGTGCAAGGTAAAAAAAAAATTTTAGGCCAGGTGTGGTGGCTCACGCCTATAATCCTAGCACTTTGGGAGGCCAAGGAGAGAAGATTGCCTGAGTCCACAGGTTTGAGACCAGCCTGGGATACTTGGCGAGATGTCATCTCTACAATAAATTAAAGAATTAGCCAGGTGTGATGGTGCATGCCTGTAGTTCCAGCTACTCAGAAGGCTGAGACAGAAGAATCGCCTGAGCCTAGCAGGTCAAGGCTGCTGTGGCCATGAGCATGCCACTGCACTCCAGCTTGGGTGACAGAGTGAGACTCCGACTCAAAAAAATGAAAATAAAAATATTTTAAATTGTTAGGAGATGAAGAGTAGATGATATTATGGCTTCTAGTTTAGAGCATAATGGGTGCAATATGATGCGTGGAGGTAAAGGCAGAATATCAAGAGGACAAAAAAAAGGCACAGGAAGAACGTAAAAAGGTACTAAGGACAAACTTTGCATGCTTTTTTCTTCGTGTGATGACCCTCATCACCCTGAGCTACATTCAGGAGTTCCTGAGCTACAAAGTTACCAGTGTCCCTAAGGAGCAGGAGACAGACTACATCATAATATAGGCAGAAGTACTCTTATGAGGTTGCAGCAAACATCAATCCAAAGGACTGTCAATACTTCAAACAAGCAACCCAAGGAAGCAGCACTATGCTAATAAAGGTTTAATAACCAGGTCTAGTTGAGAAGAAAGCCCTCACTCATAGTCAATTGCTAATTTCTATAATGAGAATACTCCCACCACAGACAAGTTCAAGCCACCGATGTGATTGTCATTAAATGCTGACTTGGGTAGAAGTGCACAGTAGCACTCCATTTTATAGTATTTCCATCATATAGACAAAATAGATATAAATAACCTCACAAGCATAGAGAACAGTACAATTTAGTAAATAATTAAGAAATGGTGAGTTTGTATTTATTACATTTGTTTCTAACATAATTGATTTAACTGTTAAGTATATGGGGGGACCACAAGATCCAGAATTATCTTTTGGAAGGTGGGCCCCTTGTAGAATAGGGTTTCCTGTTAGTTAAGTGCTTTAGGAACCCAACAGCATCACTGTACCAGCTAGCGTTTTTTGTTTTGCTTTGTTTTGTTTTTTTGAGAGGCTGTGTTAAGCCTTACTTAATTTTTTTTGGTAGATATTTCAACGTGTTTGCCCATTTAATGATGGGTGATTTATGAGTGCACCTGGCCACAATGCACTGAGTGTTCAGCAGTTTTTTGTTTTTTGTGTTTTTACCAAAAACGGCATGACCCACATGCCCCAACCTCCCTATTCACCTGATCTTACCACGAGAGACTTTTTTTTTTTTGCTTCCCCAGCTGTAAAAAATTCTCAACAGGAAACATTATACTGATGTGAAAGAGGTGAAACAAAAAAAGGCAGAAGCACTAAAAAGCATCAAAATTGACAAGTTCAAAAACTGTTTCGAGCAGTGGAAAAATTGCTTTGATGGGTTTAAACTTGTAAAAATAAATACACATTTTTAAATATATAAGTTCCAGGTCTGGGGATCCCCTTGAATATAACTCAGATTTTCATAATGACTGTTTTTAACAATTGACTCCAAAACTCCTAAAATTTTAATAACGGACTCTCAAACCAGAAAAAGCCAGTTCCAGTACACCACCACAAGGGCAACCATTCCCAAATAACATTCTTTTCAGCTTCTAATGTAAAAACTGCTACTTGTCAGACACCTGATTTAGGTTTCTGATTACCCAATAAAATGTTCTCATATATGCAAAGTAGGATACTTGGAGATATAAAATAAAGTATTTAGTGGATGTAAGTTGTTCAAAGCCATAAGAAGCAAAATAAAACTTAATATGCAGGGGTCAAAAACGTAGAAAGGGCAGGGAGGGAGGAGATTTTCCCCTCTTACCTAGATCTGTGTCTGTCACCATGTCTGTCCATTCTTCAGTTGTCAGCCTGCAGACCTGCTTCTCCTTCACCATCCATGAATCAGGAGCTTTTGAGAACACTGCACAGCAGAATGGCTCTACTCTGATTATACAAACATAGCCATATAGCTCCCCGCTGGCTAACACATCCAAGATTTGGAGTCTGAACTTGATCTGGCTTTGGGACTGGCAACAAATGAACACAAGGTAATTTGTATATTGATTTTACTATTTCCTTTCTCAAAAATACAGGGTCAACATTTTTTTTTTTTTTTGCACATCCCAAGACTTTTCTATTCTTATCATCCACTCCAATAAAAAGATAACCTCCCTTGGTGTTTGTAAATGCAGAGACATATCGTGGAATTATGTCTTTTACATATCGTAGAATGTGGTGTATAGAAAACTGTTTAAATTCTATAGTATGGGACTCAGAAAAAGGCAGGATTTCACCATATTCAAGATGGTCTTTTTGGAAAATTATGTCAGCAGGATCCAAGTTATTGAGGTCTTGCTGTTTAACCTTGAAAATTTTACCAGAAGGCTCTTTCCCTAAGATTTTTGCATCCCTTTTCTTTTTTAGAAAGTCAAATGCGTCTCTTGTGTCCATGAGCTCATTAGAGGTATCAGACCTATAGGAGAGTGAAGAACTCAGGCTGCAAATGTGGGGCTTAGCAGAACTGTCTTCTGGGAAAGGGCCACTGCTCCAAGATTTAACAAAAATGCAAAAACACTTCCCTTGTTGCTTGGTCTCAATGAAAGGCAACAAATGTGAAGAGTGAATAAGCTTTCTCAAAGACTCTGCCAAATCCAGTCCCATCTCCACAAGACGTTCATCCTTGTTTGCCATCTGAATCACTCCTCCTCCTGAGTTTAATAAAGCACATGCAGCCCATATAACTCGTGCCTTTTCTTGTTCTCACTGAGTTTGCTGCAGCTTCTTTCTGTTTTCCTGTCCAAGAGTCACTTCTCCTACATTGATGACCAAATCTGGGTAAGATGCTTCTGCCACCAAAGATGAATTATGTTCCTCCATCTTCATTCTGCAAAAGAATTGAGCACATCTGAGAGAATAAATAGAAATAGGGAGAAACTAAAAATTTAGTTAAATGAGCTTTTGCTCAGGCAACTGGGTGGTTAATATGGTACCATCTATTGACAAAAGACCAATGACTATTGAAGGTTGTAATGAATGATTCGGAATTCACTATCCCATTCTCTCTACTTTAGTGCACATTTGAAAAGTTTCTATAATATGTTATTAAGTTGATCTCATCTACCTAACCTGAGTGGTAGACAGATTGGTGTTCATTACATTATTCTCCATATTTCTCTGTAAGTTTAAAATAATTCATAATATTAAAAATAATACCTTTACCTCCAAAAATATTTTAAAGGAGACTGTGCCATAGGAGTTTAGAACACTGGTAATAAAGTGGTTATATTTTTGGGACATACATTCTTAGGAGGCCAGGGCAGGAAATGAGGATAGTCAAGACAGGGGGAAGACCTGACAAATGGAAAAAAAGAAGGATCAATGGTTTTTGGCCTTTATGATTTCAAAGAACGTGTGTTTGGGAGTGGTTGTACAAGTCAATAAAACTCAAAAGTACCATGGTGAGGAGGGGGCCTTTATGACTTTCAGAATTGTGCTGCAACCTGCACAGACATTTTTCTCTTTTCCTGATTATACATTCAAGCATGCCATGAAAAATTTCATTCTGTGAGCCGGGCTCGGTGGCTTAACCTGTAATCCCGCACCTTTGGGAGGCTGAGGTGAGTGGATAGCCTGAGCCTGCAGGTTCGAGACCCGCCTGGGCAACTTGGCGAGACCTCATCTCTACAATAAATAAAAATTTAGCCGGGCATGGTGGCGCGTGCCTGTAGTTCCAGCTACTTGGAAGGCTGAGGCAGAAGGATCACCGAACCCCAGCAGGTGGAGGCTGTGGTGGCCAGGAGCGGCCACTGCACTCCAGTCTGGGCGACTGAGTGAGACTCTAACTCAAAAAAAAAAAAAAATTTTCATTCTGTGATTCAATAGTATAGGAAACATTTCATGACTGCTCCTTGTGGGCACACTAAGTGCTGTGAGAGATGCAAAGAGTCAGCCTGGTGGGATTTATGGTTTAGGTCACATCACATTACCACAGCGCAGCTTAAACCCCATGGAGAAAAATTGTGTTTGGTAATAGGTAGGGGTCCTGTTTCAATCTTCTGCATGTGATCAGCCAGTTTTCCCTAAACGTTTTCATATCGGCAACTCCCTTCTGTATCTGAAAGTCTAGATTATTTTGTTAGAAATAGAAATCACAAAAACTGCTAATCTTTTCTTTTCCCTTTAAAACCCAAAGTGGGTCGGGCCTGGTGGCTCAAGCCTGTAAACGCAGCACTTTGGGAGACTGAGACAAGAGGATTGCCTGAGCCCAGGGGTTCAAGATCAGCCTGGGCAACTTGATGAGACCTCGTCTCTACAATAAATTTAAAAAATCAGCCAGGTGTGGTAGTGTGAGCCTGTAGCTCCAGCTACTTGGAAGGCTGAGGCAGAAGGATTGCCTGGGCCCAGTAGGTCAAGGCTGGGGTAGCCATGATTGTCTCATGTCTGTAATTCTAGCACTTTGAGAGGCCAAGGCGGGAGGATAACTTGAGGGCAGGAGTTTGAGACTAGCCTGGGCAATATAGCAAGACCTCATCTCAACTAAAAAAAAAAAAAAGATAAAAAAGGGAGAAAGAAGCTGGGCTCGGTGGCTCAGCCTGTAATCCCGCGCCTTTGGGAGGCTGAGGTGAGTGGATTGCCTGAGCCCGCAGGTTCGAGACCCGCCTGGGCAGCGAGACCTCATCTCTACAATAAATCAAAAAATCAGCCGGGCATGATAGCATGTGCCTGTAATTCCAGCTACTCGGAAGGCTGAGGCGGAAGGATCGCCGGAGCCCAGCAGGCGAGGCTGCGGTGGCCGGGAGCGGCCACTGCACTCCAGTCTGGGTGACAGAGTGAGACTCCAACTCAAAAAAAAAAGGGGGGAGAAAGAACCTTCCAGAGAGAACTAGGGAGGAGTCTGTCAAGGTCAAAGGACTGACAACACAGATGGAGGGACAGAGAGGTAGGAAACAAGACTGAAGAGGTGGTCAGGTGCCCGATTGCACATTGTTTAGTAAGGCCACATTAAAAGTGTGGGACTTTATCCTAAGAGTAATGGGGAGCCATTGGAGGATGTTAAGCAGAAAGACACAGCATCAGATGTACATTTTTTACAAAGTTCTTTCTAACTGAAGCATGAGAAAGGATTGAAGGCATCTAGAGCAGTTATGGAAAAGACCTTTAGGGATGCTATTTCAGAAGCCAAAATGAGAAAAGAGGGTGATATAGACTAAGGTGGTGACAGTAGAGATAAAGAGAAGTAGACAAAATTGAGAAGTAAACTGAGGGACCTAGTGATTGATGGCAATTTGTGTCTACTGTTTGAATTGCCCTTCTTCCTTCCCAACCCAATGGATATGAACCAAAATGGACTGAGTCACTTGTGGAGATTGTTTATGAGAGACTGCTTCTCACTCCAGACTAAAGAACAGTAGCTAAAACAAATATTGAGTTAGAGTGAAAGATCACTGGAGGTCAGGAGCTGGAGACCAGCTGGGGCAACATAGTGAGACCCTGTCTTTACAAAACATTTTTCAGAAGTACCCAGGCTTGGTGGTACACCTGTAGTCCCAGATACTCAAAGACTGACACAGGAGGATCACTTGAGCCAGGAATTTGAGGCTGTAGTGAGTTATGATTGTACCACTGCACTCCAACCTGGGTGAATAGAAGGAAACCTTTCTCAAAAAAAAAAACAAAAACAAAAACAAAAAACAGAAAGAAAGAGAAATAAGATCCAAATGTGGGGAGAGAACCGGGAAAGCTTGAGCAGCCAAAACTTAACCAGCCAAAAGCAAAGTTCCCTTTTAAGGTCTGGGATCAGAGAGACTCAACTTCCAACAGATGAGCAACACTGAAGCCAGGTAAGCACAATCATTTAAGTTTAAATTTAAACCTTAAGAATAGTGTTGATGTGGCCTAATTATGCAAAAAGATGAGAGAGAGAGAGAGAGATGTATATTCCTGCCATGCTAAGCTTTCTCCATAGCAATATACACAATTTGTGTCCTTTAGTCCCAATTTCTTCATATTTCCCACACATAAGCTGGCCCCAAATGTGAGTCTACCTTCTGAGCTGACTTGACAGGAAAGAGTCTCCATTGCTACACCCAAAGGCTGCAGGGGAATAGGAGTGTAAGCCACTGTGCCTGGCCCATCCATTTTCCCATTAAAGATAGCTAAAAGCACAGTCCAAATTCTGAGTTCAGATCTAACAGCATTTTCTCCACAGTCAAAAGTTTAAAGGATTCCAACAGAATTTCCCACTCCTGCCCAGTCACACAACCCCAGCTCTACCATCTTCTGGTAACACCTCACCAAGCAGCCCCTGTTCCCAGTTCTTCTTGCAGCCTCTGGAACTACATTCCTGTCACCTTTTCCCGCAACCCACCCCCCAGCACACTCTGCATTAGGCCCTGCTATAGGCAAATCCTTTTGGTTCACACACTATATGTAAAAGTGAACAGGAATCACATCTCATCTCCAACGTGCTTAAGGAAGATGCCCATGACAGGCATGGTGGCTCATGCCTGAAATCCCAACACTTTGGGAGGCTGAAGTGAGAGGACTGCCTGAGCCCACAGGTTTGAGGACAGCCTAGGCAACATGGTGAACCTCATTTCTATGGTAAATCAAAAAAATTAGCTGGGCATGGTGGCACATGCCTGTAGTTCCAGTTACTTGAAAGGCTGAAGTGGAAGGATTGCCTGAGCCCAGCAGGTCAAGGCTGTGGGGGTCATGAGTGTGCTGCTGCACTCCAACCTAGGGAACAGACTCTAACTCAAAAAAAAAAAAAAAAAAGGAAGATGTCCATACCACACAGAAACTTGGAATCCATGGGAGCTGCAGTTGAACCACCTTATAGAGAATAGCACTTGTGGGCTAGCCTGGGATCCTGGCCATCCCAGTCCAACTCCCAGTTATGTGAAACTTTCTGTGGTTCACATCTGGAACCCAATCCTTAAAATATAAGTTTCAAACAGGAGCCTACCAAATCCCCGCCTAAAACTCAGTGACCTTCCTTAGGCCCTGGCTCTAGGTTTATAGGTTAGATGTTTCTGTTGGAATCCTTTAAACTTTTGACTGTGGAGAAAATGCTGTTAGATCTGAACTCAGAATTTGGACTGTGCTGTTAGCTATCTTTAATGGGAAAGTGGATGGGCCAGGCACAGTGGCTTATGCTTGTAATCCCAGCACTTTGGGAGGCTGGGGCAGAAGGATCACTTGAGACCAGTAGTTTGAGACCAGCTTGGATATCATAAGGACACTTAGTATCTACAAAAAATAAAAAAATTAGCCAGGCATGGTGGCGAGTCATGATTCTGCCACTGCACTCTAGCCTGTGCTACAGAGTAAAACTCTAACTCAAAAAAAAAAAAAAAAATACAGATGGCATTCAAATTTCCTTAGAGTTATGCTACAACAGCAAGGTGGAACAGGAGTGATAAGAGCTACCTTCTGGACCATTCACTGTCCTCCTGGAATGCCACTTTGCATATGGTTTGGGACGTCATCGCTCTCATCGGTCCCCCGTTCTAGATGAGAAACTTCAGGCGGGCACTGCTGTACTGGGTCTCTTTTTTCCTGTCTAGCAATGCAGTGGTCAGTGCCTGGTCACATGTCACCTAAACAACCTATTCCAGCCAGGCGCTGTGGATCACGCCTGTAATCCCAGCACTTTGGGAGACGGAGGCGAGAGGATTGCCTGAGCCCAGGGGTTCGAGACCAGCCTGGCCAGCTTGGCGAGACCTCTCTACAATAAATCAAAAAATTAACCAGGCATGGTGGTGTGTGTCTGTGGTTCCAGCTGCTTGGAAGGCTGAGATGGAACGATCACTTGAGCCCAGCAAATTGAGTCTGCAGTGGCCGTGAGCATGCCACTGCGCTCCAGCCCGGGCGAC